GGGAAAAGAATAATTAGACGTTCGAAAGTTCGCGGTTCACCGCGCCCCGGGATTTCATTACGTGTACCTGGGAGGAATATAGTTTTTTTACGAGTTCATTCCGAATAGCAATACGACCTCGCGAAGACCGCGTCACTTTAACGACCGCGAGGGAAAGTTGGTGAAGTTTGCCATTTCTTTCCTTTTTTTTCTCTCTCTCTTTCCTTCTAAGTTGTTTTGCCCTGGCGCGAAGGGGCAGTTATCCTTGATTCGCTTGTTGCCGTAAAGAAGCTCCCTTCGAAACGCTGCTGATCCGCCGTCGGGAGAACCGCGGAGTAGCCGGATCCAGGATAGAATAGTTGAAGACCCTTTCTCCACGTTTCCGGATGTATTGTCTCGACGAAGGGTGAATCCTACGCTCTGTTTTTCCTTGACATTGCAAAAGTACCTTCGAGCAGCCTGGCCGATTAAATTTCGGAAAACATCCATCCGGCGATGTTTCAGGAAATTTCCCATTTTTCCCTCGGGATTTATATAGCGCTTTGGCGGCCTTTTGAAAATGCCGGCTGGCCGCCACATGAAAGGGACCGTTTCTGAATTTTCGAGAGCGAAACCCTTCCTTGACCGCGATATTTCAGCTCGGGGATCGCCAAGGGATAATGTAAATTTAAATTAGAGCCCATTATTCAGACTCGAGAACGTCTTCCCGAAGTCTGCCATTTTCATATACATCGTCCCTCCCCGATCGATGGTTAAGGGCTGGGAACCTCGGTGGGAGATCAAGATTGCGGAAAAAGATCTTGGCCAAGGTCTTGGCCGCGGAAAGTCATTTTCGATCCGGCGATAAGACCTCGCGTTCTACTAAACTTAATTGGGGCAATTTGCTGCCGATCATGTAATATCTGGCTCTATTTCTGACGCGCTATGGAGATCCTGTAAACTCGCGTTTTGGGATCGTTTCTTCCCGTTTGGCGGGAAATTATTTTTCTCGCGGTTCTTCTTCCTTTCGAAGAAAGTCTTCTCGACGGCGGGCTGGCAGTTATTCGTCCCCGAGATAGCCGAGGAGAAATTAAAAAGGACCTCGACGCTGAGCCACTATATTCGTTCTTGGCTCTGGACGGGTCTCTACATAATTATACACCGACGGCGGTACAAGTGGATTTACTTTGCTTCAGCGCTTATTTTTTCAAGGGAATGCGAACGGCGCTGCCCTGGCCCGGCTACGTAATGGGGAAGTTGAGGGAAATTTTCTGGAAAATTTGCGGACAGCCCGGATCTGATGAACCGGGGCGGCGGAAAGTTTAATGCACATCGCATTCGGAAGTCCGAGCAGGTGGAGCGTTTCGCCCCGTTTCGACGAGCCTTCGGGAAATTTCAAGCATTGTTTCCCCGGGTCGATCGATCGCCCATCGGAGGTTCGATCGGTCCTTCGGCTGATAAATGGGGCCAGCTAAATGGACCCAAAATTAAACCCCCGAATTCGAGGGATCACGGGGAACGGGATGCACCCTGACGGTCCCGACTAATTTTATGACAACATTCGGGGAGTGTAATACATTGCAATATTTATTCACCGTAACAAGTGGCAACTGGAGAATGAGTAATAAACGATGCCGTGTATACCTGGACTCCCCTTGTTGTCCCGGTGATATTTTATTCCCCGTCGAGGAAAATATTCCGCACTCGGGTGAAATTTCTCTTCCAGGTTGGCGTACGGACCAACGAGCCGCGCGAATGAGCTGTTTGGTTGCTTAAATAGTAATCACTTTGAATAAGTGAGATTTCATTTCATGCTGCAAATAGGTATTTGCAGGGCTCGGTTTTTATTTGATAACCGAACCGGCCATTTAATTACGACGCCGTTCAATAAATGATTTCTCCTTTCCGACGAGCGGATCGAACGGATCGTCCTTGCGGGAAAGCCGATCTTGCCGTGCACCGTTGTCCCGCACTTCCGCAATTGGGTAGGAAAAGGTCCCCGACATTTGGTTTTAAAAGCTCCCTCTCGGTACACGCCGAGGAGAGGTGAATAATTTCCTAAAATCGTCCCGAAGAAGGTCCAGGCGTAAAACGACGGAGAGTTCCCAAACTGGAGCATTACGCGGCCCAGGGGGAAATTTACATATTCCCCGTGAAAACCATCCTCGGGACGTAAAATGAAATCCCGCACCGTAGGCACCTTATCGTCCGCGGTCCTCGCAATTTTTCTTCGGAAAACGGTGCAACCGTCCTCCGGGAAGGCCGGCCCCTAATAGATTTCCCAAAACGCAGCTGCAGTCCGGTCGGCCGTCGAGGCAAAGTGCAGTTATCAGCGGCAGAAATCGTCCGGGTAATTACATGTAACGCGGCGTACACCGAGGGTACATACTCGTTGGGGAGTCCTTTGGCTCGGTTTTTCGAGAAATCCATTAAACCCAACGTTATGTCCGCCACTGCCGGGGAAACCTCCCTTTGGGGCCTGCTTTTGACGTCGACCGGTTGACTTTTGCCCAGTTTCCTCCTTCGATCCCATCGACTTGGGCCGGGGGAATTAATTCCGGAAGGCGGCCGCGATTTGCATGGATTACCGTTCATCGGGTGCGGGGAGTTCCGCGTAGCCGCGACTTCCGGCCAGCCGGGGTAATTTACGCGGAGTTTGCCGGGAAATCGGGTCGGGGGCGGTTTCCCTGGTTCCGGGTCGGCCGATCGGCCGCGGAATCGGAGGCTCCCCTTCCGGAACCCTTTCGCGACACGATCGGCCGAAAATTTGGGCCGCATGGGGCGCACCGCGCGTACCATTACTGTTACATTGCACGCGGGTAAGCCTCGGCCTCTGCGCGGAGGGAAAACCTCCGGCGGGAGGGGCGGGAAATACGGATGAAACAATTCCCGGGAATTCTTTTGTTTGCCGTCCGCCCGTGAATTATAACCAGGCACCCCGGTGCATGTTACGGCTGCATTTCCAGCCTCGGAGGGCTCAGCCGCCAGGACCTCTTTATTTATTATTCAAGCGTTTCCGCGGGAAAATCGATCGTCGATCCCCTAATGGGACGCGGTCTCTTGGGTTCACGAGTGTCACCAGCGAAGATATCTCCTCTGCAGGACCGCAGCTTCCGAAGATGCCCTCTCGATTTCGAGGACGAGCCGCGGGGTCCCTTCTGCAATTTGGGGGAACGAGGGGAAATGAATACCGGCGCGCATTCCGCGGGCAGAAAACTATTCACCGCGGAAAATCGACCAAATGTGACGGCGGAAAATGGTGAAAATGTGACGGCGGAAAATAGAGAAAATGTGACGGCGGAAAGTGGGACGCTGGCTGGACCGGCGACGCTCGCGATTAACCGATACGTTGAAGTGGTAAACGATGGTCGATTAGGAGGGGGTTTAGGTGGGAAATGTCGAGCCGGGAAAGTAGGAGGAAAAGGAAAACTCCCGTCGGACGGGGGAGAACCGGGAAATTCGGGAAGCTCCTGCGGGGCAATTGTTTCACCACGTGTAAGGAGATCACGAGCGAAAGTGCACGTTCCTTTTCTCAATGAGGAGAATCATGATATAGGCGGGTGAACTTTAGTCGGGCAGAGATGCTCAAAAGGTTATCCAGTGAAAATAAAATGAAATAAAGGTCCTACGAAGGATGAATAACTGGGTGGGAAGGCAGGTGCAAAAATATCATCCTCGTGGTCTAATCACGAGAAAGGAATATCGACGTGGAGAGGAGAGCCGCCATGAGTATAGTCTTGTGTGGTGAAAAACCATGCGAGAAAATGCTCCGTCGAAACGGAAGGATAATTAAATTATCGTAATAAACCTTGGATGCGCGAAACTGTAGGTCCTGCCGGGTTATTCGGTAACGGTGTGTCGCAGGAATATGAATGTATAATATTTACAGACCGAGTTCTAATATTTGTTCCACTTTTTTTACACCGTAGAATGGTTGAGGGCGCAATTTATCCCGTGACGAATATTGAAAAGGAAAAATCGAAAGTCAGAAAAAAAGTAGACATACTTTTGAGATTATATTTAACAAGGTAGAGACGAGTGAAATGTGCGAAATTGTATAGAACATTGTTCAAATATGCTCTACGATGACACGTACTCGTTGTCGAACATTCTGTATGAAATATTTCTTCGCTAATCGATATATGGATTTATGTTTATCTGTATGTGGGTTAAAAGTAGAACTACCTGGAGAGAGAGAATGAAAATTATTTTGGTTTGTTACATAACCCCAGTTTATATCTATGTGACAACGATCAATAAGTATAATGTTTAGAGTGATTAAAAAAGTCGACACGAATTTATGAACATATGTGGAACATTATGCAACAATACTCTGAAAAATAGTGTGAGGATGACGAGAGAAGGGAAATAAAAAAAAATGCTTGCAATTACTTGTCGGAAGGATGAATATGGAGAAAAAGTGTTTAATTAAGGAAATAAGAGAAATCCGTCCATATTTATCTACCAGAATATTGTCACAGTAAAAATGAGTATTAAAAAAAAAATCTACGATAATGTACAGAAGAACGTTTTTTATCGAATTGACTCTTTTAACTAACATGAATCGAAAATCCAAAAAAACATTGAATCGAGAAAACCCTTGCTGAGAAACCACAATATAATCATGAATTATCTTGATACATTTCTTTAAATATTTCTGTTTACAACGAAAAAATGCAAATCTCATTGAGACCAGAAAAGAGAAAACGTGTGAAAATGAAAAAAAAAAGAACTAAAAGAAAAACAAGCCCCAGTTCACTAAGAATAAACTGTGGAATCGATAAAATCAATACCGACGTCCACGACGCCTTTTAAAAAATTTTTCCACCTGGAGGAACGAATGCATCGGAATAATTTTCAAGTCGAGGAAGAGGTAGAAGGCGGGAAAAACCGAGAAAAAACGAGAATCGAACGGAATCCCTCGGAGGGCGATTCGAGGCGCCCTAACCTCCATCGTCGACGCAGTGCCCGTTTTAACCGTAAACCACGGCACAAATAATGGGTCGCCGTCGTCCAGTGAAAGATATATCCGTGGTGAAAGATTCGAAGAGTTTATTTACGCGCGTCCGCGCGTTCCCCGTCGCAAACGGAGTGAGTTCGAACGTCTCGTTCGCGTGGCCGCGAACGGCGCAGGAGCGTCGAGTACGCTCGAAAGTTAGGTTAGGTCTCCCGCAGCTCGGAGAAGACGGGAGTTTTCGGCTTGGCAGACGCCCGCGTCTTCCCTCGGAGGCTCGGCCACGTCTCGCGAAGAGAAACCTCCGTTTTCGTGGGAAGAAACGACGCCCTGGAAGAGAGGAAAGCGCGGTGGCCGCGCGGCGCGTTCTAGGAGATTTGAATTCGGGCGCCCTTCGCGCCGCGCGCTGCGGCAGATGCACGAAGGTCAAAAGTATTTTAAAAATAAGGCCGTAGGCATTGGCAGATCGGTATGGCAGTGGACGTTAAGGGTCGGGTGGCGTTGTAATGGCAAAAAGTTTGCGAAAGGTGAGTAATCGCTAGTAATATAAACAAACGGGTGGAATTGGCGGCGAGGTAGAGCGCGTCGGGCGTCCCTTCGGTGGGCTCGGTTTGGTTAGAGTGGAGAAACGGTCGGGCGAGTGCGTGGCGTCGGACACGGAGAAATAGTTTTGGCGAGCAGGCTCTCGCGCTAGGAGAGCACGGCCGACAATGGCGCCCAAGCCTCGCGAATATTGACGTAGCCGAAAACATTATCTCGGAATTTCGGGTATCGCCGTATACGTGGGTGGTAGGTACTGCGACGCAATTCGCGCTCTAACCTCGCCGCGATCGCCCGGGCAGCTTATCGTCCTAAAATTCGTCTCGCGGTCGCGCCTTCGCGGCCTTTGGTTATGCGAAAAAATGTTTTTGGCACGCGTAGTAGCGGTCCGTGAACCCTGAAGGGTTTTACAGTTATACTGCAATGTGGCACATTTGCAGAACCGTAGAGGACGGCGCGCGGGGCTAGAGTCGCGCGATAGTTTAACAAGATATATCCAGGTGGTGCGGAGCGTGCGCGAGAACCGCGTGCCGCGAGGATTAGGGTTAGCAAACCTTCGAGCCCAGGGTGGCCCGAGTACTCCAGACTAGGAATAGAGTTTTCTGAGCAACTAGTTTGCTTCCAGGGTTGGGATTGGAGATAGGCAAGATGGACCAACAGTATTGCCTTCGGTGGAACAATCATCCGGCCAACCTGACGGACGTTCTCAGCTCCCTCCTAGCAAGAGAGGCACTCTGCGACGTTACCCTGGCCTGCGTGGGCGAGACCTTCAAAGCGCACCAGACGATACTCTCGGCGTGCAGTCCATACTTTGAGAACATTTTTCTCCAGAATAAGCATCCTCATCCGATCATATTCCTCAAGGATGTCAACGATACCGAGATGAAGGCGCTGCTCCACTTTATGTACAAGGGAGAGGTTAACGTTAGTCAGCATCTACTTCCGATGTTCCTTAAAACGGCAGAGGCGCTACAGATCAGGGGTCTCACCGACAATAGTGTAAATAACAAGACCGAGGAGAAGAGTCCGTCGCCCGAGCCCGAAACGCAAACCGTCGCCAGGCACGCGGAGTCTCCCAACCACCAGCCTCATCGCGAAAAGAGGAAACGACAGCACTCCGGCAGCTACGACATTTCCTTGACCGGACCGCCCAGTGAACGATTCCTGTCAGATTCTCAGGTAAGCCGACTCCTGGAGCAAAGTCGGCAAGTAAACGAGGGACCTTTGTACTTTTTGTCGTCTTCGATTAAGCGAACGTAAAGAAAGACCAAAGCTGGGTAGATTTCTAGTGTATATTTTTGTTAAGCGCTTTTGGCAGCAGTGCCATGGAAACATATGTTTTTTTTGTGTGGTTTTTGGGCAAAAATAGAATATGTGTCATGTATGTAAATATTTTCTGCGCATCTTGGGCCAGACTCCTTTGTGATGTTGCAAAATGGATCCAATGAGCTTGGAATTTTCCATTTCCGTTCTCTCATAAAATATATGAGGAACTGTTTGTACGCAAAGGCTTCAGTATGTCGTATATATCTGATATCTGTTGCATTCCAGATGTAGGATTATACTAAAGGTGTGAATTACTCAAAAGTATTCTTTGAAAATGTGGGTAAACGTTTTTTTTTTTTTTAGAAATGTTAATTAATTCACATGCAAGGCAGTGTATTAAATATGTAGTGGAAAATCCATTTCTTTTCCGAGGTGTTAGTATTTTTATAGAGAAACAGTGCTTAAGGTTTATTGTGTAATTGCATTATTAGAATTCATCATTTTTATTTGTATAATCACTTAGAATGACCATTAACCTACGGTAAATATCTACATTTCTTATCTCGAGTCGTTAAGAGATTGTCCTTCGCTAATGTTTCACTACTGATTGTCCTTTGAACTTTCAAAACTTTCTCTTATTCCTTTTACTTATTCGACCCCATTTTGAAGAGGATTTCAGTCCTTTCGCGTACCTTATTTTGAAAGTTCCCATTCTGTAGGGTAATTCCTTCTACAAAACCATGAATATTGCTAATTTTTTTCTTCTATTTTTTTCTACATCATACTTTTTACGATATGGACGACTACTTTATTTATATATTTAGTCAAAATGGTTTTTATGATGGTGACAATATGTACAAATATTTTACATGTAGATACTATTTACACTCTTGATTATTCAGCTTATCAAATAAGTTCACTTGCAACCTTGGAATTTAGGCCAAAGGCAAGTATCTGCTTTGCAATTCACAGACCAACTGTTCTCGTGCCTTCTGCCGAACAGCTAGCAACTGAATTTATTAAAGGATCGTGAAATAACTTAACCGCTGGGTTCAAGGAAAGTTAATTTATATCATACTAAGGATCTTTTAAGCATATTATTATAAACCTTAAATACACAATGTTTATTGCATAGTGATAATTTATACGATTCTAAAAGTCATTACTGATATCGAAGAATTATGAAAGACGTTAGGGTAATTAACGTTATGTACGAATGCAGTTTCCAATCGTACAAATAATTTTTCTTATGATCGAATGGTATTAATAACTCTAAAATTTATTTTTTTCCAGGCGTCGTCCCAATGTAGTTACAAGTCGAGTCCTCCAGTGATTCCAAAGTTAAATAATGCATTGGGGAGTGACCTTGAAGAAGGCAGTCAACCAATATCTCTTTCATCTCAACCTCAGGCTCCTATAAAACAGGAATTAGACCACCACATGAGTGACTTGCATGACATCTCCCTCCCTGTAAGTAACTTTAATATATTTAGTCCTTGAAATATGCAATGCTTAATTACAGCAAATCTACAGTTAGCATAGAGGATGTAGCAAGTCAAAGGAAGATGTAATTCGATGCATTAGTTTTTTCTTATTCCATCAACTTCGGCAAAACAGGGTATAGCGCAGTATTTTATTTCTTAAATTTATTTATATTTGCTTACTCTGCTACATACATTTGTCAGAGTTAAAATTGCTACTGTAGTCAACCATTAAAATGACATGGAAATGAATTCTAAATTCTAAAGTCATTTAATTTCAACGCTACTTACAGTTTTTGAGTAATCACTGCTATCAGACGTGGCGTATGTACTTTACGTCGTAAACAAATTTTTGCAATTTACTTGCTTTTTTCGTGGAAGCACAGTACAAGTTGTTAATAAACTTTTTAAGGAATTTAACATGCATCTTAACTTTGCTGCATCCTAAGATATTACGAGTTCTGTCGATGATAGAAATTAGTGTCTGAGAATTTAGAAAAATTAAGGATTAGACCTTAAGGAAAATTCAAGGAAAAATAACTGGTTTGACCAGGTTTTCTACATAAACCACATGTCAACGTCGAGTAAACTCGCACACGTACGCGTGTTGCAAATTCTCGGGAGTCTCTATACCGCTAGTGGAATACAAATATTCGCGTTCTCATCGTAGGTTTTCCGAATATAAATAGTGTCGATATCTCACCGTAATTCCCTAGATATTCTCATAAATTGTAAGAAGTTAAGTTAATTAAATTTACAAGTTGTAGGAAGAGACGTAACAAAACGTGCTCACAATAGGCGTTCGAAAACTTTCTCGTTGGGTCTCGGAAGTCATTATTGGTTTACCTCGTAGCATCTCGTAGCTACGATCCGCGTCGTTAGGAACAACAGAGTGTCGAAAAAGGGTGACCGCCGTCAAGAGCTCCTCGATATTTGCATAAGAATCGAACACCCAAGCGCATCCGAAATTACGTACAAATTCTTCGCGAGTACGAAGAAATCGTTTCCGGAAACTATAAGGGGAAAAAAAAAAAAAAGGAAAAGAAAAACGTTCCTGGACGCAGCATTCCGAGCCGGTGTTGCGGTTCAAATCGCGAATCTCTTGCGGTTTGAAATCGCGAAATTGCTGACGTACAACCGGTTTCTCTTGTCAAAGATGCATAGTCCTGCTATTGTGATAACAGCCGCGCACTGTCTTACGACTGCTCGGTCTCGATCGGTGATGTATTATTAAAAAGGAGAGAGAGAGGAAAAAAAAAAAGATACAACGCCACGTTAAGGCGCAGGTCTCTTACGACGCGATCTCGCTAAGTATATAGGTGGTACCTGCATCTCAATTTGCCCGGAGGAAGGGAAGTGCAAGTAGTTTCCGGCATCGCCCCGTTTAATTTCGAGAGCCCCTTTAAAGACGAATCGATATACGAAAGAGAAAGCGAGAAGCGTTTTCGTTCAGTCCCAGTCTAGCGTCCGCAGGCTCGCCCTACGGTGCGGGAAAACGTGCAACCTTCGATACGACTCGCGCCTCTTGCTTGGCATTAACTTCTTAACCTGAAACGCCGGGACTCCGTGATCACCGAGTCGGGCTAGGAACATCAGAAAAAGTAGTAACGCCACCCTGGAGCGAACGTAACGCGGAACGGTGCAAGGCCTCCGGAGCACACGGGTGCCCCGGAGGCGCCGACTTCCGGGGTAAGGGTGTCGCACCTATCTCTCTCTCTCTCTCTCTCGAGTCCATCTCCGGCCAGTCGCGGGCACGTCCCCTCCTCGTATATCCCGGGTGCCCCGGGAACGAGGGGGACGAGCTCGCACCTGGGCGCACTCCCGCGACCCTGGTCTCTCGGTTCAACGATGGGAAGGAAGGGATTCTCCAAGTAGAGACACGAAAGATTGGTCCTCTCCCCCTATACGGCGGGGAAGGCAAAATCGAAGCAATGTGTTGATCTAAACACACGTCCTTTCCTTCTCTGTTGACAGACCAGGGTGGAGTGGGAGGTTCGGAGAGGTGGGAAGAGCGACGAACCTATGGAGGTTCGCGCCGATTGTCCGGACTCGGCTATGCCGCGGGTAGATGATCGCGAGAGCGCCGTCTTGGTTGGAGGGCCTCTAGGTGTCGATACCTCCTCATCGGTCCTGGCCGAGTACCACCTGGCGCGAATGCCCGCCCCCTCCCCGAAACCCCCCTGCCCGGAGTACACGGGAACCGGCGTCGAGCCGACGACGTCTCGCGCCGGGACCGGCGGGCCCTCCGCCAAGAACCCACCCCAGGACGTCGCCGAGTCGAGCAAGGCCGCGAGAGTTAGGGCGTTGCGCCAGGGTATATCGGTGATCCAGTCGACGCTGTGCGGCGCCCTCCAGCGTCCCGCCTCCCAGGCCAGGAAGGCTGGCAGATTCAAGCCCGGATGGCTCGAGGTCTACTCCTGGCTCCGGTACGACCAGACCGCGAACCTGATGTTTTGCAAATACTGCAGGAAGTGGAGCGACGCTATCCCCGAGATCCGCACCTCCTTTGCCGCCGGCAACGGTAACTTTAGACTCGAGATCGTGAATCACCACGATAAGTGCAAGGCGCACAATCTCTGCGTCGCTAAGGAAGCCGAGGCCAAGGAGGCCCGCGCTCGCGCCGGCGAATCCTGCTAATTGCCTCGCGTTTCTTCGGACACGCCGTCGGGCGCGGCAGGTGCGAACGGCCCTTAACCCATTTGCATAGTAAGGAAGTAAGGAAAAGAGGGTCCTTATCACCAAATTTCAGATAGTAACCGGTAAAATTGAGCGTATATATATATATGCTCCGGGGATTGCGACCAGGAACACTGAGCGCGTATATATACGCTAATGATGCAAATGGGTTAAGGGGACACCTTGAGTCGGGAGGGTTCCTTCGAATTCGAGATTTGTCGCTAATCTCCCGGATTTCGGGAGATCCTTGGTTGGGGCTCGCGTAATCGCCAGAGCGTGTATCGCTTGCGGGGGGAGGAGACCTCGACGAGGGGTCGACGATTTTTCATTTACCTCCAGGTGGTTTTTCTTACAATGTCCTCCTAGGGGATATCCTGCAAAAGGGGGCTTCCTTCATCATTCATGGAATTCTCTCAGTCATTAACTTCGGGCTCTGACTTTTGGACGGGATATCGCGTCTTTTCAGATACAACCGTCACCGCGAGAGAAACTTTTAGGGGAGAGAAAGCCTTGGCGACTTTTACGTTTTATTATCGATTATGCGTGGTTTATGTGAAAAGGTAGAAATGGCGGATTCGTTTCTTTTTTTCCTCTTTTTTTTTTTTTTTTCTCGCATTTACTTACCGGGGAATCACTGTGGCCGGTCTGAGATTTTAACGGGAGGGTATCTCGCGAGGACGTTTTACTGGTTTTTTTTTAACTTTTTTTTATTTTTTTTATTTTAAAGGAAACAAAAGATATTGTTTTAATTAATCGGGAATTAACTTCGATCCGATAGGCACCTCGTCTCCGTTAACGTGACGTGCTTTGAATACTCATTTAGCGGGAACCCTTTCTTTCGATAAATATATATGTATGTATATATATATATACTTTTTTTATCGCGGCCAGTGATGAATTGCGTTCTGATTATCGGGCATTGTTTCCGCATCAAACGAACGACACTTCGCGCGGTTGAGAGCTCATGATCGCGTACACGCCCAGACTCCGCTCTGTGCGCGGTGAATAGCTATTGTTCCGAGTTTATATCTGGGAATATGAAAAATATTCCCAGCCAGCAACAACGCAGCAACGACAGGAATAACCGAGCGCTCGGCGAGACCGCTCGGCCACCGGAATACGTAATTCTGGAAACTGTTGTACAGCCGCGGCATCTACTGTCCGTGCGATCTTTTTTTTTTTTCTCGTAATTGTGATCCGCTTGTGCCTTATCGGCAACTCGTCACCCGTATCGAAAGTTCCTGTTATTAAGAGAGGACTAATATATATACTCAACATCCATGTACGTTAAGTGCATAGCTGTATTTTATACGTATATATACATATTCATAGAGTTGTCTCCGTGCGAACTACGTCAGTACTTGTAGTGCCACTCTTAATCGCGTTTACAAGAAATATTTTCAAGCTACCCGACATAGGGATTATCGGTATAAACGTAAATTCGTAATACACGAAGCTGTGAAATTTTTTAGGGATAATATAACGCGTTCGATTAGGGATTTAAAAAAAGGAAGTGGAAGCTGAAGCGCTCCTTTTTTTTTCTTTTTTTTTTCTTTCTTTCTTTCTTTTAATTATACACGGCGTTTGTTAAAAAATGTGTCGTTGACGCGAAAGGTGGTCGTAAATGACGAACGAGTTTGCTAAAGGTCTGCGATGATTTACATATCGTAAATTGACACAACGTAATCAACCACACCGATCGAGCTAACAGATGTTTTAGCTCGATCGAAGGTGGAGAGTCGATTTCTAGAGCGAAGGCCGGAACCTGCTGGCAGAAAAGGAATGCCAATGTAGGAGGCTCCGGGGTGATGTTATAACTGTGACGGATGCTGTTATCTTAGACGAGAAACTGGTTGTTCTTCCGTTTTTCTTTATTTTTTTTTTTTCCTTCTATCCGTTCTTCTCTTCCTCTTATTTTTGTGAATTTTTGTACCAGCGGTATGTGCGACGGTTTCTCTTTTTCGTTATTGGGAAAGAACAAGTCGATACACTTTTACGGCTCGTAGAGAGGCGTGACCCTTGGTGATAAATGAATTGCTCAGAACGTCTTCCAGCAGAGGAGCGGACCGTCTGCCGAGGGCTGTTTATTGTTAAAGATCGAACGAGGAGGGTGACCTGTATAAATAAAGTAGCCCGTAAGAGCGTACGCCGCAGCTTTATTGACATACATACCTATTTTTGTTTAACTTCCATGTAAGTGCGTCATACGGTTATGTAACCTCGCGAGAGATTGGACGTGCCGAATGGGGCCCTGAGGTGTTACCACGTGCGACGTTACCGCGTGGTGGTTTTATCATTGTTAAGGACCGATCTTTGTTTAGCGATAGAGGGAGGAAGTGGAAACGTTAATCACGGTGCGAGGCGCGTTATGAAATGTAGCTTCCACGTCGCCGTATATCAGGAAGTGGCGGTAACACGGCGACCGGCCTATCGATAAGCAGAGCTCCCAAGTCTCTCTCGAATTTTTCCATTTTTCTCTATCTCCCTTTATTTATATATTTATTTTCTTCATTTCCATTTATTTCTCCGAAGTAAAGCAAAACCTCGAGAGCAGTCGATCGTCCGTCATCGTCCAGTAGGAGGTATCTGACGAGATACTCGCGGTAATTCGTCAACGCCCGGTACCTATACCTGGGACGAGTCAGCTCCTATAAGCGACAAATTGCATTCCGTCGCGGTTCGAAGGCTTTTCCGCGTTGGCAAAGTCCGTCGACCAGGCCGTACCTAGGCGATCGCGCGGCTCGGCCGTCGCGATCGTTCCTCGGCGTTCTACCCTGGACAAAGAGAATCGCCGGTCGAGTCTCTCACCGATATATCCATGGAGGTTGATTAACGAGGTGGCGTTTAACGTGTACAGGGACATCCGGTCGGGTTGCTAGGAGAAGGAGGGCCCATGGCAGGGACGCTGAGCGACGGGGCGCCAGGAACGGACTCGTCCGAGCACCACAATCCACACGAAATGCTTGACGGACTCGATGGTAAGACTTCTTACACCGTTATAATCGAGTTTTCATTGCGGCCCGACGTATTTCCCGCTTCGCGGTGCCTCCACCCCGACCCCCTTCCCGCCCCACCGTCCATCCCTCCGAGTGGCTCGTCGAAAGTTTCGGCCGCCCGGTGCCAAGAAAGTGCATCCCCGGTTTGCACCCTCTTAGGAGAGGGCGGGCTCTACGCCCGCCAGACATCCCGGCTGGCCGGAGCCGACGTCTCGACGCTCGGCGTCCCGCGGTCGGACGTGCGCGCCCGAGACGTCCGCGGGACGCGGTTCCGCGGTAACGCGGTCAACGGGAAATGCGTCGGGGCCCGGGCCGAAATCGAGGGAGAGTTGTGCATGCACGTTTGCAACCGAGCCTCGGAGAGAAGAGTATATTACCGGTAGTCGTACCCGGACGAGCATCCCTCCATTTCTTAACTTGCCGAACGCAGCTGCGAGTCCAACTTGGACGGAGACGGAGGAGACACCCCTCTCCCCCTCCCTATACATATATACATATATATATATATATGTGGATATGTATATATATATGTATATGTATATTATATTAAATCTTAGCATTGTGGTGATGGTATCGTGCATTTGCTGCGTCGTTGTGGTAGCGTTAATGTGAACGTGTTTAATGCGTGAGAGCACACCTTAACGGGATTGGTTTGGGACATGGTGTACATAGATATACGAATATCTATATAAATATGTATGTATACATGTATGTATGCGTACCCTGTACGAGTATACATATATTATATATATATTTATTTATCTATTTATTTAGAAGCAAATGGACCATACTCGTTGTGTGCCGAGGACGGTGTGTGGGTTGACGAGTGTGGCTGTTGATTCTGTTGAATTATCGTTGTTACACGTACCTTGAATATGACGGAATTCTAAGAGGAAGCTCGGCCGTGTGCGTATGCGTACCCTGCGTGACGGACACGGGGACGCGCGTGTACGTCTACGCACACCACGACGGGGTTTCTCGGTGCATGCCTGTTGTATACTGTTTTTTCTACCCTCTTACATACACTTATTCGTGTCTGTATATCGCGCACCTAGCGATCTTTCGAACGACCGTCTGTCACATCTTGCGCTGTTAATTTGCTGCATGGTGTTGTTATATATATATGTATATATATGTATATATATGTATATATGTATATATATACACATGCATATATATATTATACACGAAGATATCATTCGACATACGACGCCGACAGTAAGTCACTCGCGATCGGCCGAAAGTCGAGCGACGAGAGCGACGAGCACTCGCGTTTTCCGCGGCGAGACCCGCGTTTCTCTTTTTTCCTTCCGACGAGGTATGCCATTGAGATAAGAACAAAATGGGGAAAAAAGAAAAAAGAAAAGAAAAAAAAAACGAAATGAAAGAAAAGAAATGATAACGATAAATGAAAGTAGCGTGTGAACTGTGTAGAAGAGCCGAAGATGAAACGACGCCGTCGTTTGGCAATTTTCACGATGTTTTGAAAAAGGAAGTAAGCATAATCAGTATTGCTACTAGTTCATCTGTGCCCCCTCCCCCCGTCCCCGATTCTGTAAAACCTCTTGTTAAGCCCTGTAAATTATACTCTCGCTCTCTTTCTCGTTCACCCACGTTGAATTCGTTAGTCCACTCGCTCATTTCTATTTCTTGGTTTCTATTCCAGCCCCCCTCTGCCCCCCCGAATTTATTCTTTTCCGTACTACTTTATACGTCGAGAGGTACATCTAGTTATGCGCTTATACGATATATTTGCTACAGTAGGTAAAAGTGTGGTAATCTCCTGTTTTACTTGAGTATTCCTTTTAGTTACTTTTGAGATTCTTGATTTTATATATATATATATTTTTTGTTGTTTTGTTTATCATCTTCTCTGTCTCGTTTTGATTTTGGCCTCCTTTCGATTCGTCGTACGTGCGTACCTCGTTTCTTGACCTAGACTTATTTTGTAGAGCGTGAATTGTGGTAGAAAACTGTCGCCGCTGGCCTTGCACCAATGATTGAAACGGAATCTTGTATTCCAGGAACGACAGGAACGTACAAAAATGAGAAGGATAGCGCGTATGAGAGTCATAAGTTAGAGCCGCTCCTAGGTTCGGAGAGCTGTAAGCTCTGCGGGAAAAGCGTAGCCAACATAAAAAAGCACATGAAATCCCACTTCCCCGACAAGTATCAGTGCCACATATGCCTGATATCGTTGACCAGGTCCGACAATCTGAAAAGGCATATTAAGCTGAAGCACGGAATACGGGAGGGATCCCTGATCTCGCCGTTCATGCGCCTGGAAGCGAAACACTTCCTGGCCAAGTCGGACTCTAACTCGAGCTACCTCACCTAGTCGTGCCGAGCGATCGTCGGGTGCCGACCTTACGAACGCCGAAAAGGAGGAAAAAGGAGATAACTAACGAATGAGGCACGAAGTACAAGTACAAAAGTACAAGAAGGGAAGGCAGACTATCGAGGCACTCCAAGGCTCTCCTCCGGGACGCACGACGGGATATACTTTTGTCCTCCCCCCCCCGACGTCGCATTTCGTCAGAGCGACGCACTCTTAGCGGCGAGCTAGGGCGCGACTCGCCGTCCTCGTTCCGAAGGGGTCCTGTCGGCGACCCCGGGTCGGACGGGGAAAGTAAAAGATTCGCTTAATTTTATTATATATATACATATATATATACACACACACACCTCTCGAGAGGAGTCGCCGGACGGAGCGGTGCCAGGGCTCGCGCTCCGTCCGTTAAATTATTCTCACGCGATAATCTTAAAGATATACGTCTAACTGTATTTTAAAGGGAAGTCTTGCGTTAAGGTATCCGCCGCTTCTCCCATAGGGAAGGTCCTCTAAGTCACTTGGTTCTCTCCCCCCCCCGTCGTCGGCACTGGGATCCGCGCGCGGTGTCGACGGATCGTCTCCCACTGGTACACCCTGAAACTCGAGTACAAATATGACGGAGAGAGAGGATAAAAGAAAAGAAAAAAAAAGAGAAGAAGAAGAAAAGGAAGTATTTAAGGGGAATGAAATTAGGCGATCGACCGATCACCCGGCCGCGCGAAAATGGCCCATGGAACCTCTCGCGCGATCCGCCCTCCGTGAATATAGCCGGAGACCCCCTGGTGACCTTAGGTCTTCGGGACTCGCCTTGGTAGACGCCACTCGCTCGAATCTAGGGAATTCTCGCGATTCCCGTTTTGCGAACCCCTCGACGTTTCGAGGTTCCATGGCCGCCCCCCGCCCTCTCCCCCCGCGCGGCTTCTACCCCGCCGAGTCCATCCGGCAATCCGTTCCTCCGGGAACGGAGGGGACGGCTGGTGATCCGCAGCCCCCGAAACAGTATTAAGTCATAGGTTGTGAATGACGTCGAAGACTGAATAAGGATTCCTTAGTGCCCGGCAGAGTCCCGAGTTAGAAATAGTCATGAGAAACTAGTCCGTTGCCCGGTATCGTGGGCCGATACGATGAATCAGGTCTTTTAGGCTTTCTTGTGGTGCCTTTTAGTACAAGATACTAATCAGTATGATATATATGATATTTAATACATTATTTATATAACGGTACCTAGATTATGCATGCCTGACCGGATGTACTCCACCGTGGAACGCGTTACCCCGTCGCTCTGTTTCTCTTTCCGTACATATATATATATATATTTTTGTATATGTATATGTATATGTATATGTCTCCCCCTCTCGCTGTTCCCCCTATTCTAGTTTTCGCTACGTTTCGTCCTACCGCTTTTTCCTCGCATCTCCTCCCTTTGTCCTGGGTCCCTCGTCCCTCTCCGCCGTTCCTTTAGCTCCGTCTAACCGCCTATCTCTACGGCCGTTCTTACCTTAGCTTTTCTCTATTTTGCAGATCCGACATTTTTAACTCCTCCGAGCGTTGAATGCGTGCCGATATCCGACATAGAGAAAGTAAACGTCTCAGATTATTTCGAAAGGCTGCCCCACGGTTACACTAGCAAATGCAAAGTCTGCGGGAGAGTCGTGTCGAATTTAAAGAATCACTACTTGACGCACAATCCGGGGAACTTTGTATGCCCGATGTGCGGCTGCCGCAGGACCAGGCTGGACAATCTCAAGGTCCACATTAAACAGAAACACCCCGACATACAGATAGTACACAAGAGTGTCGGGTGCAACCCACAGAACACGGTTTTGAGTTAAGTCGCGACACTCGGCTCCCTGTTTCTCGTTCACCCTTTGCCCCTCTAATTTCTCTCTCGCTTCTCAACCCGACCTTTCTCGATCTCTATCCGAAGCTTTGCCCCGGCTCCCTGTCCTTAAAATGACGACTCGTCGATTTAAACAACGCCTCTTGCCCGGAAATCGTCATCCATTACCTCCCCATCCGATCGCTGACTGATATTTCCTACGGCCACGTGGTGACCAAAGTGGACGAGATTAACGCGGAGGGTGACGTTGTCTTTGGTGTCTTGAGAAAGGCGTCCAAGGGTTCCAGCGATTGGGAACTTGGAGTCCGATGGGTGTCGACGGCGTCGCTCGCGGATCGATCCCGATCTATCTTTCCCTGGAGGTTTGACTCGTCTCGCGAGGCGCTAATTCCGTTTCTCCCCCAAAAGTGCACGTAGCAGCGAGCGCGATTACCCTCTGATAGGGGAAGGGACCGTGGAGGTAGGCTCTTCGGGCTCTCGCGACCTCCTTAATTTCGTTAGGCGTCAGGTATTAGACGCCCTGGGTGCATCGCCGTCCGGCTCTTAGATCTTAATAAGGTGCTTTCACTCCAATTCGCGGGTCCCGGCTGGAATGTCTCGCGGTCTTCTCTCGGCGCCTCTCGAAATCCATCTTTCTCTCTCTCTCTCTATCTTGCATCCCCTCCGCCTTGTCTCGTACTTGGCGCCCGAGATCAGAGATTGCAGGAAGTGCTTCGCGGAGGACGAATAAGATTTTCAAGGGACGCCTCGAGAGCGCCGAGTCGCGTCGCCTTCGAGCGTCGGGGTGTCCCGTGGCGGTAGATTGGAATAGGTTCCTCGAAAAACCGGAGCCGAAGGGTCTCCTCTGATTAATTGGGCCCTTTATCTCCGCCCGGTGGGGTATCTTGTCGGGCGGTTCCGAATCTTCGATCGATGGCGCTCCTCCTCGCTAGTCGCTCGCTGGTTATGCCCGAACGGAACCGGAATGGATCCCGAGATCGACCCGGTCGAGACGGATGGACGAGGGGAGACGGTACAGGGCCCTTTGAAGATAATCTTCTTAGCGACTCGCGCCGTGCCTCGTCCTTGTTACACCGACTTAATTCCCGCGACAAGAAGATCAGAGGTCCCTGCGCTCGCCTCTGGAGGGTGTCTCGCAAATCCGAGACCCGATCGGTCTCTTCCTCCTCCGATTCGCCGTTCCAGCCAGAAATCGAGTCCCTGACGGGACGGAGCCGCTCGATCGATTTCTGGAATTTGTCTTTTGGTAATCTTAGGGAACGGGAACTCTTTCAAGGGCTCCTCGAGGTGGAGGCTCGGCTCGGACGGGGTTCGCGGAGGATCGAGGGATTCGACGACTCGGAGCTGGTGGTTGATCAAAAGGTTCTATAGAAATTCGATTAGAAATTCCCGGATTTCCGGCGAACCGTGGAGACGGTTCCGGGGAACCCGGGGCTGTCTGGGAGTCGCGGACGAATCTTCCATCGTCGTGGGAACACTCCCGGTTGTCCGGTACCATTCGTAAGGGTTTCGCCCTGTCTCGGAAACGCAGGCTCGCAAACGGCCAGGACGGCAACAGCTTCCGGTAGTTCGTACCGGCAAACGAGAAACTCTTGTTCGAGGTGCTCTCTCACCCGACCGCCGTCTAATTCGCGGCCAGAGCTAATGCATTAATACCGGGTATATAAGTGGAGTCGAGGGCGCGAGTTAAGTTGGTAAGCTGTGAGTGCCGAAGGGTGTCGAAGGATTAGTCGGCAACAGTCCCGATCGCTCCCTGTGTGGGTCCCGGGTCCGGTCAGGGTGCGTATCCCGGTCGGAAGCTCCGCTTCCGGTACCGGAAGTCCCGCGGAAGGGGAGGGAGAGGAGGTGTTCCTTGGGGTGGCACTCGGTGAGGCGACGTGATCGATCTCGGACGAACGTTCCACTTCCAGGAGGGATCTTCATTCTACGTCTCGATCTCGGTAGCCTATCCCGTGTTCCACTTCTCGGTCACCCCTCCTCTGTGTTCCCCAACCCGTGACTTCGCGACGGTAGGGGGTGTCAACGAAGACGAGCCTTCCGTTTCTGGCGCCTCTCTCGAGGAACGTGCCTCCCGGAAGGGAAGGATGGGCACCGAGGAGCGGTCGTCGACTCGATCCGTTTTCGATGAATCTTTCTTTTTTTTCTCTCTGTTCTCTTTTCATCCATCCCTTCATCTCCGAACGTGCTCTCTTCTCGGGAAGGCACCTCCGGGTGCACCCTGGTACCTTGTCTTTCGCTTCTAAGACGACAACCGGTGTTCGGATACCCTGACCGTAGATTCCCGGATGATCGTCCGGCCTCCTTGCTCGCCCGATTCCTCCGTAGGTCTGTTGTCTCCGAGATCGGGGTGACCGCGTTATCGGTCAAGTCGAAGACGACTTCCCGGTGCCCGTCTTTCGCGCCGACCCCCTCGTTCACGGAGAGGCACGGCCGAATGACAATTTCTTGTCACATCGTCCCCGAGAGGGCAATTCACGCCTCGCGGGCACGCGGGGAAGCGTCCACGTCTCCGTTTGTTTCTCTCTCTCTTTCTCTCTCTGTCTCTCTTATCCTTCTATCTGGTTTTCTATCTCTCTGTCTTTCCTCGGTCTCTCTCTCTCGCTCTCGCTCTCTCCCTCCCTCTCTCTCTCTCTTTCTCTTTCTCTCTCTCTGTTACAGTGTTGGCCTGTGGTGTCTCACTGAAGAGAGAGGGGGTTGCCCCGCAAGAACGCCCGACCGAGCGGCAGCTGTCCAGCTTGATGCCCCCGCCTTTGCTCATCCCAGACAGAAGGGTGACTCGGGGGCAGACCAGGAGTGCGGCCATTCCGTACAACGTGTTCAGGAGGATCCGTGGCGACGTCTTACGGAGCGCCTGCCTTGTATGTGGCAACATGGTCACTAACCGGGTGCACCACATGTACGTCTGTCACGCCAAGAAAAGCTGTCCGTCCTGCGGAAAGGTCTTCATACGTACCGAGACCCTCAGGGTGCACGTTAGGCGCATGCATCCCCACCTCCAAAGCGCCTCGGCACGCTTCGTAATCCCCGATCTGCCACCCCATCTGACGATTTCCAAAGTCCGACCTCGACCACCTGGGGACCCCTCCGAACCTCCCCTTAAACTTCCCCTTGAACCTCCCTCGGAATCACCCTCCGAACCTCCCCTCGAACCTTCCTTCCAACCGAGTCCTGGCTCTTCGGGACCTCGCGCCCAGGATGCGTTATCGGCCCTGTCGCACCTGGACCAGGTGGGTGGGTAACCTCGATTTCACGATCTCATTCACCGAGTTCCACCCGGAACTTAGCCTTGGCATCCTCTGGTTCGGCCTGGTTCCTGGCCACGTCCTGGACGTGGATTTTCCGTTCAGGTTGAACCGCTTGATGTTCCTTGTGTGCATCCTTGGCGCCAGGTTACCTGTCTCGCGTTACCCGTTGCACTTCCTGCACCTAGGAAAGCGAGAGAGGGTGCTTTTCATTTTCGAGCCCTCCTTTAGACCGTTTCTGTTCTTGCCGGATTCGAATGGCGACGCGTAGAGGGAGGGTCATGGGTAGCTTTGTTGGAAATCCGAAAATCCCGGGGAAATCATGTCGCTCCTTTGTTGGAGGGTGCCCAGTCGGGCACTGTTTCGTGGCGTTGACTTTGGTTTTCTCGAAGTTGACGTTATCGGTCCTGGGAGTGTTCCTTCTTTCGGCGTGCCGCCTTCACGGTACTTATCAGGAGTCGTAGGTTTTTGTCTTTGTCTTCTCTTCTTCGGAGCCTCGGCTTCTTTGGTTAGGGCACTCGAAGGGTTCGATCTTTCGACCAAGGTTCGTCTCGTTTTAAGTAAACTTTAATTTAGGTTCGTACTTATATTATGAATACCTGAGAATATCGAGATGCAGCGTAGATTCGGTCTCGTTAGGTACTAGCTTAACTTCCTCCTCGAAGGTTTACTTGTATATTACTTAACTTATTCCCGTTTTTGTGTTAACTCGTGTACAAATTGTGTGGGTTTTCTTGTCCGCTAGGCAGTAATGGAATTATCGTGCAGTACAGTTCGGATTCGGCTTCTAATCGATCCGTCGATTCGGAGACAAGGAGACGTACCGGATTGCGAATTGCGGATAATTCGGTTCGAGACCTCCCGGTATAAATTTGGGGAAGAGCCATCGGTACTCTAGGCTTAATCTCTAGACGGTAAGTTACTCTTAGGGTGCGTTCTCTAGGTATATACACCCCCCGCAAATTCTAGTCAGCGAGCCGTAGCTGCTATGGTTGTGTACTAGGTTTTAGGTCGGTACGTAAATTAGCTCGTAGTCCGCGAGAACGACAGACGACGTTGCTCTCGTCATCTTTCTTCCTTTATCTGCCGTTCTCGATATATTCCCCTCGAACGATCTCTCGCGACCTGGATCCGATCTCCGGAGTTAGGGCTAAGGCTTAAGACCTTTAAACTCGGTCCATCGCCCTACGCTAACCCGCCACTTTATTTTCCCAATTGTTCGGGACAATGTAGTACCTGCCATTCAGTCGGCGCCGACGGTTCTGCCTTTTGTTTCGGAGCAGCCGTGAGATCGCCGAATCTGAACGTCTCGGACGTATTCGCGAGTTAAGCCGCGCCGAGGATCGTTACTCGAGCCCCGGGATGTGGCTCTTCGAGTTCGCCCTCCGATGCACTTCGCAGGTCTTCGCCGTGGTTCCTCGGAAATTCTCATTTCCGGGGACGCCTCCTGGCCCCGTTAAAATCAGCGAGCGGAACGCGGAGGCGAGTCTCTTTGCCCTAGACTCCGTAGATCCGCGAGAGCTCTTCCCAGCCCGATCTCCGGATGACCCTGGCCCACGTACCTCCGGCCTGTCATCTTTGCCGTGATCGACGGCCCGACATCCAGCACCGGATAAGACCCGGGGTCGATTGACAGCCGGGCCACCCCTGGTTTATCGGCCGGACTCGATTCTTCACCCTCCGGATTTCTCTTCGCCCAGCATCCGGACCTCTCACCGAGATCACGGAGACGTCGACCCATGCCGAGGTCTCGATAGATCGGGCAATCCCGGCGCCGGCTCGCGAACTTCTCTCTTCTTATTCCGAATTCTCTCCTGCACCCTGCACCGCTCTTTTCATCCCCTCGCCCGCTCTACCCAGACGCGTAGGGGCGACGACTCCGACGCCCGTGTATAATCGGTCTTAAGATTAAGAAGCTCCCGACTAGCGAGGGAAGGTTACCTATAGTCGATCGTAATTAAGGTAAACTCTTGTAGCTTGGTAAGCCTTCGATTTTTGCCCCCCCTCCCCCCCCTCCCCCATTTTTTTTCTCCCCGGCTTGATCCGTGAATTGGCACTCTTGCCCCGTCAACGCAACGTGCACGCGTCAATGAACGTAATTTAGAGTGCGTTACCATTATGTAGGCCGTACATGTAGCGAGGCCGAGTTCGCTCCCGGGTGTCCTTTATCTGAGAATTGGACGGACCGAGTAGCCCGTCGAGTCGGCGTCAAGACGCGTCCCTTGTTCCTTGGGGTCCCTCTTCGCGTTCCCGATGGGAACGGGGAAGGGGGCGACGGAAGTAACCCCGAGGGGGGGGGGGAGGTAAATTCGAGGGCGCACCTCGACGGCCTCTTCCGCAGGACTCGACGCCTCCTGCCGGACTTCCGGGCTACTCGGCGTATATTACCACTCCTGCACATTTTAAGCGCAGCGCCATGGGTACAGTACCTATTTTGCAAGGTTACATTTACCATTCCACGTGGTCAATTCCACAATTTTTGTGCTCTTACCTCCCACGGTATTTTAACCATACCACCGCAGTAATCGTAACCAAATTATTATTATTATTAATTTTTTTTCCGTGTATACCAGTCTTAGTTGGATAAGTATTTAATTTCTCCTCCCTTCCATTCCTCGCTTTTCAAGCCGAATCCTTCTTTTTTTTTTTTTTTTTTTAATATACCTTTAGTCGTTAATTCTAGCTAGTAGGTGAACAATAGCGACGTAAATTGTAATATTTTTGTATTTGTCTATTTGTGAAGAAAAAAAAAATAATAATAATAACATATGGATGAAGAACCAATAAATGACGATGACTTTAATTTAACAGGAGTATGTGTTTGCTGGTGGGATCATTTTCACTCTCTAATTCTCTCTCTCTCTCTGTTTCTCTGGCTGTCTTTTCTTTCGTCTTTCTCTCTCCCTCTCTCTCTCTCCTTTACTCCGTGCCTTTAATAGTTTGTGTCTCTCACCGAGGTGGGCAGGCGTGGGTGGTGCACTTGTGATTCGTTTAGGAAGGTGTGACCGCGACGAGGCTCTGTTCTCACCTGTGCTCGACTGGTCCCCTGTCTCTCTCTTTCTCTCCCTCTCTCACCTTTCGTCATTTTTTTTCGAGGAGTTTGGAAATGGCCGCGGATTTCCCGCTCTCGCTCGAGACTCCTCTCTCCTCTCTTCCAAATATCCGTTTCCGGCTCTCGTTATTCTCTCTCTCTCACTCTCGTCTGTCTCGCTCTCACAACTACTCACACGCAACTGACACCTCGCAAGGTTTAACCATAGCTTAACCAAGTAGCGAAAGAACCAGGGCAAGGGTCCTAATTAAAGTTAACAAAAAGGTACTCTTATCGTTCCCAATTTCTGTATATAGACGTACGTACATACACATATATATATATATTTATACATATATATGCACTGTAAATTCTACGATGGGTGCCGCGATAAGTCGCCGTTTAAACGGATCGGATAAACCGATCGCAAAGCTCGACGTTTCTGCCCCGTGTGTTTGCAAGCGTGCTCGAAGTTCGCTTCGCGAGGTCCCTCCTCACCTGTCGTATTTTCTTTTTCTTTTTTTTTTTTTGGCAATATTCGTCCCTCTCTCTCTCTCTCTGGCTCTCTCTCGTTCTCTTTCTCTCTCTCTCTCCCTCTCTCTCGTCCTCTTCCTCCCTCTCTCTCTCTCTCTCTCTCTCTGGAATGGGATTCGCACCGATCGAGCAGGGTCGGCTCGACCTGCGACGAGTCAAGCTCGAGGCCCTCCTGATAACAGGGCCTCACCTGACGGTCGCAGCATCTGGCGGCATCGCGATGCTCTCTTTGAAGAATGTCTCTCTTGGGCTTGCAAAAGCTTTTAAAGCGACCTTAGAGTTTGAAGAAACCTCGGGGTGAGCCCATGTCGAGCCGCTTGACTCGGGATCGCGGTCGAGCTTATCGGCGCCTCTGATAAGGGGTGCTCGATTCGCGCGAATCCGGCATCGCCTCTCTCGGGGTGCTCGCAATGGGTCTCGCGGACTCGCTCAGGATGTGCGTTTATGGGCTGAGGCAGTTGATGGGAACGGGAAATGAGAAATGGGGGACGTGGGGAACGAGCAGGGCCACCGGTCCGCGGTGCAGCGGGGATGGATGCACCTAGGGTACCACGTTTGTGACCGCGATCTTTCACCGGGAGAAATCGGTAGCTTCGCTTAGGGGGTAGGGACGGACGACTCGACGTGTCCTTTCATCTCGGCGAGTCGACGACTCGTCTCCTGGGAGCTCGGTCGTTACGTCGAGGCGCCACTCGCCCCGATCGCGCCGAAGTGCATCCGCGGATGCACGGAGGCGGTTCGACGTGGCTCCGCGGTACCGAGCCTGCAAGTCTTTCCGGTCGACTTTCGACCTGGTCCCGC